GAAACAGAGATGGAGAGGCTTTTGGAGTGCATTGTTCTTTTCAATCCACCTGGTAAGAAGATATGGCTTTCCTTTTGATTTAACAGGGGTTCAGGGGGTATCAGGTGTCACAGTCCAGTATTAATTTGTATTTACTTTAATGAGAATTTCATAATATTTCATATATTGAATGGATTGATTCTTGAGGCCCCCCAGCATCATTATTTTATTCCATCAGAAACGGACCTTCAGCAGAGACACATGGCCACCTGCAGTCTGTTTGCTGAGTTGTTGACTCTACTGAATGGTGCAAGTGTGTCAACAGCAGAGCAGCTTGGCACTAAGCTTCATTCCTGGGTAGAGAAAAGGGCTCGAAGTCCCCTGGTGTTGCCTCTACTCACTGCTGCCTGCAGATGCCTGGCCTCTGTACGCCACATGACTCGCACCACTGAGGCCTGCATATTGTCCTACTTCACTGATGGTAATTTTCTGAGAGATAACACAGATAACACTAACACTGAGAGATACTGTCTCTTTAACACTTAAAACTTTTAGGTGTTGAGACTAAATAACTTTAGTTTTAGTTATAAAATATTTATGCAGAGTAGCTTGTGTCATATTTTCTCTAATTTGTTGGATCTCTCTCAGGTGGCTGTGTGGATCAGTACTCTGGCTGGGGGCCCATTCTGGTTTCTCTCCAGGTTCCTGAACTCACTGTGGAGGACTTTATCCAGGAGAGTCTGGCCCTCGGCAGCTACCTCACGCTCTACGTCTACATCCTTCAGAAGCTCAACATGGAGCAGACTCTGCTCACTGAGAAGAAGACTTTGATGCTGCTTAACTCCTGGAACAACCAAGTTTTTCCTAAGTAACTTTATGTTCATCTTAGTTTGACATAGGCCAGTGTGCTATGTTCCCTGTATGCACATGTAGTATGCATCTGTGATTGTGATGTAAAGAATTTTTAAAAATCCTCGTTAGTTACCATATAGTGCACGGTACATAAAGAAGTATGTGATGAGGGTATAATTGTATATACTTTATTACAGTGGTCCAGCAGACGAAGCCAAGGTGTTTCTGTGGTGGCACAAAGCCTTACACCTGCTACAGGTTCAGGTGGATCAGGGGGACCCGTGTGGACTAGACACGCTGGTGCTCTCCATGATATCTTTTCAGAACCACCTGGCACAGCTGGGAGAGGAGCGGCTCAACTCTGGCATCCTGGGAGCCATCGGCCTCGGACGCAAGTCACCGCTCTCCAACAGGCAAGACGTTTTACTACAGTCATGTAGCATAGCAACATTACTCCACACTAGTGGAAAAAAGATTTTAATACAGGTGATGTTTTTAAGGAGTTGGTTTGTAAACTATACCGCCTTCCATGTTTCTTTTATAGGGCTTTTATAGGGTTCTAGAAAACCTGGAAAGTCATATAAAAACAAACCTGACAAGATCCAGATAATTGAAAAATTATAAAGTAAAAAAAACATACTTAAAATCATGGAAAATATCATGAGTCTGATACAGAGAGAGAGAGTCAAATTTGGTGCTTTGTGTAATGTTTGTGGAGTTTGAGAGTGAAATGAACTGAACGATAACAAAATTATAGCAGTTTGATGTGTCTGTAAACACCTCATAGCATGCTTAAATTAGGTTTGAGTAAATCTGGTGGTCAATTTCTAGAGCAAATATGCAGAAATGCTTTATATGGTTCGACTGCTTTCGTGTCCATTACAGATTTCGGGTTGTTGCTCGTAGCATGTCAGCGTTCCTCCTGGTGCAGGTGCCTTCAGAAAGCCAGTTACGCATCCACGCAGGAACAGAGCTGCAGCTCTCCTCGAAGGCCCAACAGGTAAGAACTTCAGGTTAGGGTGGTGGATAGGCAAAGGTTCAATAAGTACATTTTAATGTAGAGAACACACTCAGAGCAACCCTCTATTTATACTGATTAACATTTGCTAGTGAAATTTGAGAAGTTCACATTTTCAAGGAAGATTTTTGCATCCTTAGGCTGTGACATTGCTGGAAACCATGTCGAGCAATAAGCAGTATTCGGAGCTGCAGCAGACCTTGAGCCAAGCCTGTCAGTTCATTAAGTACCCGGGTCACTGCCTGCGTGACAGCAACCGCCTTTTATCCCTGCTCATCAACTCGCTGTACCCAGATCTCCATTACCTGGACATCATGCGCTAGCAAGCCCTGAATCACAGACTTATCAACCAAGACGCTACACCGGTTGTGTTAAAATGCACTGGAAAATGAGCAAGACAGACTCAAATTAAGATCATTTGTGCTTTTATGGGGTTCTTGCCTGAAAACATTGTCTGGAACAAAGATTTGGACATTTTATGGAACAGAGTGCCAAAGAGAAGCTTTGAAAGTCATGAATTCAAGCTTATAAGGTAATCCGGATGTGTGTAATGGTGTTTCATGCTCCCCTTTTTCGCCTGTCTTTCTTTGATGCTGTATTTGTACGTGTCTCGTTCTGCATTATACATTCAGTGTCATCATAGTCTTTTTTTCATTTAAATCAGCCAACATGAAAACAATTTTCAAGCCTTATCTGAATGTTCCTTATAATGGAGCGATAATGTCCAGACATATTCTATAAGACCTTAAATGCTTTACTACACACCATCAGTATTGTATAGCCATTTTCCTGCAGTCAGAGGGACAAGTTGGCCAAAGTTGAGAAAGTAAATATGGGTGATTTTCTGTCAGTCAGAGCCATGAGATACATTTGATAGTAGTGTGTAATACGAATGGAATCATAGTGTGCGAAATTGGGTCTTCATGTTTGAATCACTGTCTAATGCCAAGATTTTGGCCCAAATAAATGCCAGACCTGGCCTGGCAGTCATGGTGGCAATTCCAAAACTGGAAATATGACTTACTAGTAACAGATTACAAAATGTGCTACAAATGTGCAACTCTAGTGTGAGAGATATGTACAGTTGTTGATCTTAATCTAACATTTTCTAGGTTTATATGCTCAGATTTATTAGATATTTTGGTGAGGATTTCAGTGGTTAAATATAAGCATGAAGGACATATTAGATCACGTACATAAATGAAGTGAAAAGTTATCTTTTCAGATTGAATTTTGCTCTTATTATGAATGTTTCATAAAACCTTACAGTTTGTTTAAGTGAATACTACACTGTTTCTCAAGTTGTGTAGCATACAGTATTTAACATTCAGGTCTGTAATGTGAACATGGTAGAGAGAAGACTGAGGAGGCCTAAAATAACTTATCCTCTATTCCTTTTCTTGAATATACTTATTTTTGCCACATGATTAATTTAGTACGCACTTTAAAGACAGTCTGACTTGGGAATCATTGCCTGTTTGCTGAATGCAGTCAGAAGTTCATACAGATGTCATGGAGGCTTTTAGGATTTTCAGTAGTCTGTTTTAATACCGTTTCTGTTTAGTTTTTAGAGACTTCACACAAAACCCAGGATACTGCAGAGCCCTTGAGAGGTCATGAAAAGCATGCCCAATTTATTGATCACAAGACATACTGTCAAGGTTCCATTTTTCCTTTGAGCTTTCAGTGTGACATTGTGCCCATATTTGGGATAATTTGTGCTCTCGTCTGAAGAAAAGGTGCCCACAGTTTAATGGATAAACTGATCTAGCAAGTTACAGTTTAAAGTTTAAGTAGGTAGAGTTCTACTTAAAGTCTCAAGTGTACTTTGTGTTCTAGAGACATTGGGGGTAATAGGATTGTAACAAGAGCGCAGTGTTTTCCACAGGTCCATTGTAAACCTGCTGGAGGGCCGGGAGTGCTGCAGGAACAATTCAAAGGTCCTGAAGTGTGTATATAACCCATGTGTGGGGAACAGTAAGGACATTAAGGGTATAAGGACCCTTAATGAATTCACTGGATCAAGTCACTTAATTTATAGTAAATTAGCAAGGGTGAACTGCTGTGAGTTTAATAACTTACTGATGATAGTAAAGAAAAAAATTACACTTATTATCATATCTCTCTCTCTCTCGCTCGCTCTCTCTCTCTCTCTCTCTCTCTCTCTCTCTCTCTCTCTATATATATATATATATATATATATATATATATATATATATATATATATATATATATATATATATATATATATATATATATATATATATATATGTATATATATATATATATATATATATATATATATATATATATATATATATATATATATATATATATATATATATATATATATATATATATATATATATATATATATATATATATATGTATGTGTATGTACCAAGACATGATGATACACATATTGCGCAATATTTTGGGTTTAAAGAATCTATTCTACTTCTATAATAGGAGCTTAATGATCCGCTTTAGCTTACTAAAATAATCTTTTTGTCGCCTCTCCAGGGCTCTGTAGGACGCTCGGATGAAACTGGATACGCATTGTCACTATATGTGTCTTCTTTGTATTTTGCCATGATTTCTGAAGTCATGTGAACAAGTTGTAAATTACTAATGTAAAAGTGAATAGCCTTAGACCATGTCTCTCAGTGTCTATAATAAAAACATAAAGAACCTCTTTTTGTTTTTTCTGTCATGAAAAGTATAACTATTTGCTTGAAATGTATATGTATATTTACAGGTTTTTAGAAAATTTTGTTAGCATTAACCAAGCTCAGCGGAAATGACTAGAAAAAGGTTGCAGCCATAAACGGTGTATCTTAAGTTGTATCTAGTGTGTTGACATATCTGTAATACGTTTGTATTGCTGTCTATTCTGTTAATAGGGTATGAAAAAGAAATGTGTTTTGTATACGAGGTGGTGCGATACACATAAAGCATGTGCAGGAGGCCATCATTGTTGTTCGTCTTCTTTCGGCTGCTCCCATTAGGAGTCGCCACAGCAGCTCATATTTGATTTGGCACAGACTTTATGCTGGATGCCCTTCCAGATGCAACACTCCCCAATTTTATCCAGGCTTGGGACTGGCACTGGGAGTGCACTGTCTTGTGCATCCCCAGTGGCTGGGGTTGGTTCCCTGGCCAGGAATTGAACCCAGGCCACTGCGGTGAGAGCGCCATGGCCTAACCACTAGTTCTCCAGGAGGCCATTGTTAAATGTGGTGAAGTGGAGGAACTTAGCCATCACTGTATTCCAATTTTGCTTAAAGATTATTCCCGTTTCTACAGTGCTATGTTGGTTAATTGTTCTTAATCACAAGTAGTCTGACGATTGGATTGAATTATCAAGCCAAATTATAGTGGTGATGAATATCCAGCCAAACCTAGAGATTTGTCGAAATGCAGGCGGAGGGGAAAAAAGCAATGTTTAGCAATGCCAGGTCTGCTGTCTTGCTGTAGTTGCTACGGTGATGTGAATGACTGCAGTCCAGCAAAACCTAGATTTGCCTGGTCTTGTTGAATCACTACAGAGCCTAGATCCCTCGACATCCAGTAAATTCAATCTGCACCTCAGACCAGTACTCTGATGGCTTAATGTCACTTCTTCTTATTTGGCAAAAAAGCATAAAATGTCACAGTAAACCTTTGATAATCTACCGACATGGTAACTTTAAAATCATGTCTTATCTCCCAAATGTGAAGGTGTGTAAGGCTGATAAGGGACACCTGATAACACACCTCAGAGACCGCTTCAGCAGATGGATATTTCTCTAAAAATGTCAATTTACATTATTCATAGACTCAGAAATACTAGTCAGAACCGTCTTTCACTTTGGGACGTTATGTGATGCAGACTGCACCCCCACCTTCTCTGTTGCTATGGTTATCTCAATTTTTTTACGAGCAGACAGCAGATGGGAGAGTGCGATGAACGTCCAGGTTCTGTTCTTTTTCACTGTCTCGGCTCTCTTCGCTTGTGATTCAGCTCCACGTGTGAAGTCGACAGCTCAGTCTAACACCCCTAACAACCTGCAATGTGTGAGACCCAAACATTTAAACACATTATGGTTGTCTGCTGCTTAATACAAAAGCTCAGTGTTGGTTTGTGCTGGTGAGATTTGGCCTTAACAGTTTAAGATTGTGTGAACGTCCATTGCATGGTAGCAGTTAGAACAAAACACATGTTTTTATCCAAATTACAAAGCTTTGCCGAAGGTTTTTTGTTCAGACCTGCATTTAGATCACAGGTTCCCAACCCTGGTCCTTGAGTACCCTCTATCCTCCACATTTTAGTGTTTTCTCTGCTCTAACACACCCATTTCAACTCAGCAAGGACTGTTCTTTAGCTGATTATTTGAATCTGGTGTATTGGGAGCAGAAGAAAAAGAACAATGTTGTACAACAGGGGGTACTCCAGGACCAGGGTTGCTTTTGAAGTGATGCTACATACAGACTCTGGAAGAAATCCACCAATAATCAAAGAAAGTTCTTATTTTTATATTGTCTGAAAACTGATGAATAAGCACAGCTAATTTACAGCTGAGGAAATACTACTGTGATCTGGCCTTTCTTCTAAAAGGTAAGCTTTTTTTCTGCTGTTCTTCTCTGAAGACTTACTGACAAATCAGAAATACTGAACGGCAGGTAAGCAGCTTTGTGTTTGAGAATTTTTTGCCCGTTTCACTAGTGAAACATCTTTGCACTGACAGAAAATGACCAATGGCCCAGTAATGGCCTATACTTCCCAGTTCATCTGGTCCATATACCACCTGGGATTTCAATTCAATTCCATATTATTTATATAGTGCTTTTAATAATGGACATCCAGATATAAATTTTAAATTTGAAATGTTATTATTATTATTATTGTGTTAATAAGTCTGGATATTTCTGAATATATTTAACATTCTAACTAACACAGGAGCTTTTCTTTATTTTATAATTAAAGAATACACTGACCTAAACTCCAGTAAATTGGTATTGGCATAGTCAACAATATTTCCAGACATCTGTTTTGGGGGGTCTAATGTAAAAGCAACATTTTCCTTTTATACCAGAATGTAGTTTCCAGGATTTTGCTCTAAATCCCATACATTGGATTTCCCTTCAGGCTTGAGGGAATGAGGTTTTCATTTGTATGCGCAAGGCAGTGCTGCTCTACCATCTCCTCAGCAACGGCCCTGTGGAGGCAGCAGCAGTACAACACTGAGATCTGTCCTTATTTGAACCTTGGGAAGTCATGTCGCTCAGCATTGCAGTCCCAGCACACTGCCATAGACATGGAGCGTGACCTTCAATTAACCCCATCCTAGCACATATCCACCGTTGCTAGGTTTTTTTTTTTCTTTTGCACTTTATATATTTAGATACTGACTGTTGCTTTGCTGTTTCTATAAATAGTGTCAGCTCCCCTTTACCCAATCCATCACTGAAAAGGAACCACAGTAGACTCGCTGCTGATCAGATTTTCATTGTGTGATGAACCCCAGCATAGGATTATTGGGGTTTTTTAACACCTCTGTTGGGTTGAGAAACAGCCCACCAATCAAAAATCCCCAGCCAGCAGCAGTCCAGTGGGCAGATACTGATTACAGTTTACAGATTACAGATACACTGATTAAGTGTTAAAAGACAATAACCGCAAATTATGCATGGAAAAAGATGAGCTCTACTTTACACCTACACAGTGGAAGTGTGTCATAGTGCCTGCCACACTCATAGCCTTTTCAGATGTGTGAATTCACAGGTTAAGTACCAAGCATACTTTCAGTGTTGAACAGGGAAATGACCAAACTTTACAAGACTCTGGCCTTCCAAGACTGGAATGTATGACATGATCTTCGGGAATGAGCTGCCTGTGGGTTTATGATAGATCTGTTCTAATTTGGCTGGCAGTGAAGGTTACCAGATCTTTATGATTAAGTCTGTTGAGTAGCCACAGCCACATTTTTTTAATTTCACTACAAGCTCTTGACAGCAGACATATGGAAGCATTTGTCAAAGTTCCTCATGATCGGTGAGTGACATTGTGGATGTAAAGAAGGTTGCTGTGTCATATACTTGTTTTAATAGAAGGAAAGTACCTTGTAAAATGACTGCCATGTATTTATTCACTAGGTGTACTCAGACTTTCCATTTGCACTTTACTGCTTTGCTTCATCAACATGTCAGAGGCTTATGTCTTCTAGGAACATCCGTCCAGTAGAAATAGAGTATGATCAAATGGAATCCAAAATAGCAATGTGATTGGATCATTCAGCACATAGCTTAATGAATTTAATAGGTTTTCATTACTAAAAAAAAAAAAAAAACTTGTAAAGCTGATTCTGTTTTTTTCATCAAGCCTATTGTATATTTTATTGTATACATCATAATGCATCATAATGTAATATCCCAATGACTGTGTGGCAAAATCTTCTCATATTCAGTCAAGTGGAAGATGACAGCAACAGGGAAGAGCCAGACTTTAAAGATAGCACTGCCTAGTGTCATTATTCATTTAGGAAATGTAGTCACTGGTTACGATGACATAGCTCTACCTGCTATGTCTCCTTTTTGTGTGTGCAGTGGCCATGATTTTAGCAGTAGCTTAAACTCAGTGAGTCTCCCTTGATTTCGTTCATAAGTTATTTTCGTGCTAAGTTGTTACTGATTGAAAATCAGTTTTCATATTGTTCACTTTCCTAATTGGGTTTTAGCTATCTAGCCTATCACCCATAGTCTCTCTCTCTCTCTCTCTCTCTCTCTCTCTCTCTCTCTCTCTCTCTCTCTCTCACTCACACACTCACACACAGGCACTTAGGTCACTGTGTTAGACGCGGGGGATGAAAGAAAGAGGAGAGATGGAGGAAACACTGGATACCATACGCCTACTATCCGGCCTAGAAAAATCCCATGGTGAATAAAAAAAAGGCTTTGGACAGTATCCATCAAATCTCACAAAGACCAGCCCAGAATGTTCCAGACATTGTATGTTGTTTATTTCATGAAGCTGCACCATTGTTTAGGTTTGCAGAAAATGCAATTTTTACTTAGAGTTGAATTAATAGCCAGAGTTTTCTACACTCATCCATGTGGTCGTCGATTGGACACACAATCACATATCCTTGCAACAGTAATGAGAGTTGTTAAACATGTATGCGCATATTGCTACTATCTTCTCTCCACCACTGTTCTGGATCTGTTCCTTTTTGCCTTCTCATTCTATTCATGAATGCCTGATCTGCTTCTGACCTACAGATTCAGAAGCAAATTGGCTAGGAGCTTGGTCATTTTATCATTCATGCAGTGACGAACTGTCTTGCACACACCACCTGTTTGTTTTTGTTCATGACACATGTGGATCATGCATTGCATGACGTTATGCAGGTCATTTCAGGGCAGAGGCATACTAAAGAGTCACTCGTGAGGAATTAATCCATGAAAGCAGAAAGATCAGAATGATTGAAGTTACTTTCCATGTATACAGTACCTTGTGAATTATTGGTGTGAAAGCAGAATCAAACACACACAATGCTATCCATCTACGTGTTTAACATAAATCAGGGATGACCCTCCACATCTAATTACAGCTTTTTTTTAGTTTTCTATAATAGAGAATTGATTCAAAATAAACTTTTGACCTTACAACACACAAGCATGGCTGATGGTAAGTCATTTATGGAGAAATTCATGTTTATGGTGCTTACAATGACCACTATGGGTCAATCTTTGCTTGTAAAGTGCCCAGTAAACAGAACATGTTTTTAAACAGAATTAGATTTTTTTAAATTGTGAATGAAATGGAAGGTTTCTGAATATTTTAATTTCTGAATATTAAAACAGCTATAATGTACATTTTCCCTTCCTGAAATATGTTAAAAATTGTATGTATACTGTGTATGAGAAGCTTCACTGACTAGTATTAAGATCACTGTTATAGAGATTCCCAATCTGAGTTCTGGGGATCCCATGGGGTAAGATAGAGAGAGAGAAAAAAATGCAGGTTAGGCGGTCACAGGGTCTGAAACAGACAACCAGTCTCAGAAGTGTGATTTTATGAATGCAAGCAAGTAAAGAATAAATGTAATCCCACATTGTCATGCTGAATGAGTTAGTTTGTTCTTTAAAACTTTGCTTGAATCTTACTCATAATACAAGGCTAAACTGAGGTTAACAGAGAAACTAAAATTAAATTTTAATTTTTTTTAAGTTTTACTCATGTTC